GATTCAAATTTCAGTGACAATCCAATTCAGTTCAAACCACTTTAAGATTCAGTATCTGATCTGAAAAAATGATTTATTCAAAGGCTACAATGGCAAAATTTCAAAATGCCTGAAGCTGTTTCATTTTTTTGGGCAGAATGGAATGAAAATCTCTAGGATGATAAGTCCTTTAGAGAATTGTAACCTTGCCAAGCTTCAGATGAATATTTTCAAAAGTTATAACAGAATAATTTTAATGCATCCTCCTTTATCTGCAAAGTTTACAAAATGTGAAAATGACAGCACAAGAATTTCCAATTTGTTCAGCAGAAAGGCTGTAAAGAAGATGGCTGAATCAATGCAGAAGTGTTGAGCCAATATTTCGAATGCTGAAAGTAAAAATAAATAACATTAATACATAAACAGCAACATAAATACTGTACAAAATGAATGTTACTATTTTTTATGTTGTTTTCCAAAGCTAGATTTTGTCTGCTTGTTCTGAAAAATGCTATTGTGGTTATTAGACAACAGGAACATGCCCCACTTTAATTTAATTTGTGCAATGCTATTAGAATAGAATAACAGAGTTGGAAGGGACCTTGGAGGTCTTCTAGTCCAACTCCCTGCTTAGGCAGTAAACTGTATACACCACTTCAGACAAATGGTTATGCAATATCTTATTAAAAACTTCCAGTGTTGGAGCGTTCACAATTTCTGCAGGCAAGTTGTTCCACTGATTAATTGTTCTAACTGTCAGGAAATTTCTCCTTAGTTCTAAATTACTTCTCTTCTTGATTAGTTTCCACCCATTGCTTCTTGTCCTATCCTCAGGTGCTTTGGAGAATAACTTGACTCCGTCTTCTTTGCCCCTGAGATATTGGAACACTGCTGTCATGTCTCCCCTAGTCCTTCTTTTCATTAAATTAGACATACCCAGTTCCTGCAACCGTTCTTCATATGTTTTAGCCTCTGCCTCTAATCATCTTTGTTGCTCTTCTCTGCACTCTTTCTAGTCTCAACATCTTTTTTACACTGTGGCAACCAAAACTGGATGCAGTATTCCAAGTGTGGCCTTACCAAGGCATTATAAAGTAGTATTAACACTTCATGTGATCTTGATTCTATCCTTCAGCCTAGAACTGTGTTGGCTATTTTGGCAGCTGTCTCTCATAGAGAGGCAACCTCTCACAATGACTACTATTGAGCAAGGTACCACATGTACTGTACCTGTGCATTTTGTTTTTCTTGCCTATTACATTCTCCTAAAAGACAAAATAAATTTAGAATCTATACTTTCAATGAATATACATTGAACATTCATTTATACCAATAAATATAATTAATGTAAGTATTAATTAAAGTATAAACATTTGAGAAAGGTATCAAGCATGATCTTTGGATTCCTGAACTCATAGTTCTATTGAAGCTGGGGATAAAGATGAGGTCAGGAGGTATATTTTTTTTGATCTGGACCCAGATGATTAAGTCAAGCTATATAAGTTTCATTTAACTTTGGACAAAGAGTCAAATAACCTTATTTGATTATAGAAGATAATATTGATATCCTAAACTGCAATTAATATTGATTTTTTTTACTTTTTTATCTTAATACTTTGTTTTAAATAATAGAATGTTCTTAATTTTTAATCATATTACATATATTTATATTTATATATACTTCATCATAAAGGGGAAAATATATCATAACTGAATGTGACGTGGTCACTGAAACATGAAATAAAACTCATTGTGGAGGGGAGCAGGGAACAACTAATTGTTACCAATCTCTTTGTATTGGGAACTTGTACCCTCCTAGCAAAAAATATAGGACGCAAATGTGCACAAATATAGCAAGAAGCTGTAACTGCAAGCAAATAGGATGTTACTTTAGACTCCTGATGTTGGTTTACATATAAGCAATAATAATTTAGATTCGTGACAGAATATCTAATTGCTGAAACTGTGATATATCTTCTTCTATAAAACTATTTCTCCCTGTTAAAAAGGGCTCACATTTGAAAAATAAATATCACCACTATATATTCTTTTATGGTTGTTTACATTGTCATCTTTTATGTTTTTAATATGTTTTTATGCTATAAACTGCTGGGAGTGGTTTTTACTGAATCTGGTGGTCTATAAAAACAAACAAGCATTTGATTTACAAGCTTTAGGATTCTTCTATGACAATAGATCTTAGGCTGATTAAGCTTGGTAATGCATACTCTATCTTTTATACTTATGATACATTTAATATGATTTGTATTTAATCATTTCTATAATATAAGACTCCATGTGGCTTGGCTCCTATGGACCTACCGGACTTCCTTTTCCAATGAGAATGATCAATTTGATTTGTTCTTCTTAAAAAAAACTAATTACTGTGTCAATTTTTAATGGATATATAGATTTTCTGCAGGACAATCTATCTTCAGCCTGATCCTTCACATTTTCCAACAATACACTCATTACCACCATCATTGAATCTATCCACCATATTGCTGATCATCCTCTTGTTCCCTTTCCTTTCATTTCCCCAATATTATAGACTTCTCTGGGGAATTAGTTCTTTGCATAAATAATGCCTTTGAAATAGGATAATTTGAACCTGGTCATTTGTGCTTCTAGTGAGACCTCAGGGTTGATTTATTTGATGATTTATTTGTTTGATTTTTCTTTCTTTTTTGCTCTTTGTGGGATGCTTAGCAGTCTTCTCCAATACCAATGTTAAAAATCATGAATACACTTTATATCCTCTTCAAAGTCAAGCTTTCACTTCTATGGAGTGCCAAAGAGAAAACCATTGCCTGCAGAATTATGACCTTTTTAGGCCTTCATTGCTATTCTATTATGAGTCAGTGTGAAGTCTTTCATTCATTATTATGAGAGTCAGTCCTAAAAGGCAGAAGATATCCACTTCATTGTCAGTTCTAAGCTTGGTTGCCATGCCTGTGGTCATTTCTTTGGTCTTCTTTATATTGCTGTGGCCAAAACCAGTTCACCTAAAGCAGCCAAATCACTTTGAAGATGCAACATAATTTTATCACCATGCAAATGTTACAGTGAATACTGGACTTTCAGCAAAGCATTTGCAGATTGTTGGGCAGACCTAACCGAAGGCAGAGCCATAGCTTATTTATCCTTCGTCTACTGCAGGGCTGTCAAACTCACTGCCCATAGGCCAGATGTGTCATGTGCTGGCCCTGCCCCAGCCCAATTTAGCGAAGGGCAAAAAAGTCCTGATATGTCACGTGATGTCACGTGTTTGGTCTACTGCATTGCAAAGGCAAGAAATATGCTAGGTGAGTGTGTTAGGCATGCTATCTTTAAGATATAATCAGTAGATATAAACAGTGCTGTTTACTGGGTCACATGTACCAACTGATTCTTGTTTACTCAAAGTTTAATTTTTAACTTTACCCCCATTTTTAACTGATGTCCTTTGCTTTCATTACTAGAATTTCTTTTGCATTTTCAGTTATCAAATAGTGTCAACAGCATGGTTCATGATAATTATATTTCTTCCAGTCTAACTTCCCTGAATATATATTCCATGTATAGGTTAAATAAATAAGAAGAGAGAAATAAATACAACCTTGACAAATTTCTTTAGTAAGCTAAATCTAGAATCTTTTGTCATCTCTCATCTGGACTGCACCTTGCTGACCTATGTGTAGGTTTCACATGAAAACATTCTCATTTTTCTGAGCATATTCTTTAGTTTGATACCCTCAACACATCTTGCTAGGATGTGAAATTAAGGATATTGTATGAAAATTTACCCTTTTTATTAAGTCTGTTTTTTATCCTATTTATGAAGACTGAGCTATTCCAATCTGTTGGCCATGATGTCATTGTCCACATCTGCTGGCATTTTGGTTAGAATCTTTAGAAGTCTTTCTTCTGTCACTTGCTATATTTCTTTAGATATTTCATTAATATCCAGGTGTGGATTGGACACCTCATAAGGGAAAAGGTTCTTCCTTGTTTTACCTAAAGATGACAGAAAAAAAATTAACAAACTAATGGTTTTGTGCCTGGATTTCATTATATCATGACCTATATAAAAGAAGCAACCATATGTCTAGAACATGGGTGTCAAACTTGATCGTGTCATGGGCCGGATCATGATGTATCACCATGTTTTTGGCCTTTGCAGAACCAGCGGGCTTTGAGCCGCCAGATTGACAGGCCTGGTCTAGAAGGACATCAGTATATTGCTTAAAATATTATTTTTCCATCAGTGTTTAAAATAAGGAGAGAGTGAGTATGAGTGTTAGTGTGTGAATGTATGTGTATTTGTGTGTTTCTACTTTAAAATGAGAGGAAAATCTTTATGAAAAAGAACAAATCAATAATTTATTTGGAGGAATGATGGAGAGTGATTAGCAAAAAGTTATTTGTCCAAAGGACATTAGTTAAAAAATCTGAATATCTTTGAAGAAATTATAGCAATAAATAGCAATTGTAGTTTTATACAAAGTGTATTTTGTCTTATTTCAATATGAGAGAATGTGGTAAAACTAAGAACCTTCTTCATTGACAAAGCAAATATTTACATTTCCAGGAGTTTGCTTTTCACTTAAAGAGGGAGCAAAAAGAAATACCATCCACGGAAGCAGAAAGACATACACAATACAATATTTTCCAATAATTAGATGTGTTGCCATAGTGATGTATTATGTACACTCATATGCAATGTAATGAGCAAACACCACTGAATCATAAAATTATGAATTATTTTCTGTGGGGAAAATTAAGCTCTGTTCTTTTTAGTACAACAAATTAATTGTGAAGAATTCATTTAGTTAGGTAGTCTCTCCCTACCCAGAGAGACAAGTATTTATTATCTAGGTCAATTAGAAAGCTTTTGGTTTTGGTTTGTTTTTATTTCTTTTAAAATATCCCAAAAATAGTGAATATAACACATAGTAATCTATTCTGTTTATTCTCTCCATCTTATACAGAATATTCTTTTTGATTTATTGCACAGTTAAAAAATACACCAAATATTCCTTTTTACCTTCTGATATTTTTAATGGAGTATTGTACATAAATACCATGAACAAAGCTGAAGTAGTCATGGAAAGGCCCTAGGCTTTTTCTCCGTTTTCTGTGACCATGACTGCTTCATGAACAGTTTTTCTACTGCCTATCTACTGCCTTTAAGTCATCTTCAGTCCATATGTGAAGCTATTTGAAGGCATTCTTAATTGCTACAGTTTAAAAAAGGCAGTTCCTTCTTCTTCTGATATAACTGTTGTCTTCTAGGCCCATTTTGACTTGGACTGTAGAAAAACTGGACACCAGGCTTCTGCACAGCCATATGCTTGTGTAATGCCTAAGTGATGGTTTCCATTGCATTTCTCAGATTTATTTAGTCTCTTTATAAACACAGGACTTTTGAAAGAGCACTAAACCTATTTGGTTTGTTGGTTGGCTTGGCTTGGCTTGGCTTGGCTTGGCTTGGCTTGGCTTGGCTTGGCTTGGCTTGGCTTGGCTTGGCTTGGCTTGGCTTGTTAACACAAGTGTTTTGCCAAGAATCAGGACAGTGATTAGTTCTTTCAGTTCAGTGAATTGGTTCTTTTTGGATCCAGAGACAATTAACATGCAAAGTAACAGAGTAAATAAAGAGATTTTAAGTTTTATCATTACCTCAAGCAGAGTTAAAACCATAACATAAAAAGCATACATACCAACAAAATATCATTATGTGACTAAACTCCCAGAATAAAAATGGTCCTCCTCATTGCCATTACAATGAATTAATTTATAATTGAAAAATCATTGCTTATACGCTGAATGAAAAGTTAATTTAAACTGAGAAAGAGAACCATTTCCTGTAAACAATTTTTTTGGGGGGGGGGAGTGGTGTTCAGTCAATATTAGTACATTGCAGGGTTTTTTTCTGCTTTTGAATGATAAAACATTTCCTACGGCTATATATTTAATGGTTTTTGTTGTTTATTTGTTATTTTATATAATGATCTCTGAGTACTTATGCAAGAGTAGTATAACTATTGCACTGACCAGGCAACGCTGCTGGGATCAATCTTATAAAATCTAATTTTGTCTAAATGTAATGCTATTTGTATCTTTTTGGTGAGGAGCTAGACACCATTTCAGCCACTCCTAGCTTTTTTGTTACTAAGTTCCACAGTGATGATTAGATTGCTTCTAATAACATCAATCACACTTGAATGGTCTAGAAACTTGATCTAGCATTCTATTCTTCACTGTTGTCATTGGTTACTGCCATGGACTGCCAGCAGCAAGGCTAAAACAGGATTTTTTGATCATTCACTGACAATATCATCATTCCTTCGGAATGGTAATTGGAGATGAAGATCCTTGGTTATGCAGGAGAAAATAATGTCAGTTGGAACAAATAAATTATTCTTCCTCAAAGTGACTGTCCCAGGTAAACTAAAACTTCCGATTCAGCTATTTAAATGCAAGAAAGTTGACAAAACTATAAAAAGATACTAAGGAGCGAGAACAGTTCTGGGAAGCAAGGCCATAAGAAGGTAACATTTAGAAGAAAAGAATATATCACAAGGTAACTAATTTCAAGAAAACAGCCTTCATTCTGTCAAATATACTTTATGGTATCACCTCCTAATTCCTGATCGTCATGTCATTAAACACATTTTATGTTTCTGTATTCAATCAATTACTTACAACTACCGTATATATGATTTTAATGCAAATTCTAATTGGCATAATAGTCAGAGGAGTTGCATTCCAAACCTACTTTTAATTTTACTTATGCTGCTTCCAGTTTCATAATAAATGTTATGTGCTTCAATGAAACAGCCTATCTTATATTTACTGTTAAATAACTTTATCAAAAGATTTGTTCTACAGCTACCAATTTCCTCCAGCTGAGTTTCTACTAGACTGGTCAGTTTGGCTAATTTATAAATATAGATTTAATGTAATTTACTGTGTGCCTATAGAGTGTAAGGAAGATGACCTTGACAGAGATTTGCAAGAATGATTACCTAGGCAAAAGGATCTGGAACATTTTTCTTAAGTCAAGTGATATAAGAGAATATTTAGAAGGGCTCAGATCTAATTCACTGTACTAACATAAAAGGGAGAAGGGACAACATAATTGTACTTGCAAGGTTCTGTCATTAGAGCTAATCTTAATATTTTAGCCTTTCAATTGAATTGATTTTCTGGTCTAGTGTATCTAGAGGAACTGACAGTATGCTTGTGCATCTGTATATAATTTACTAAATTTCCTCTGCATGAAACATGCTGTTGTTAGAGGGTATGGGTAATTATTGATACCTTCCCTTATGACTATATTTTAAACTAAGCCAAATCTCAAATGCCAAATTGACAGTCCATATTAATCACAAGCAAGACGTGCTCATTGTTATACAGGAAGTCTGATATCATAGCTTTGTCTTTCACTATAAATAGACAATATAAAATTTAGAGGATATCATTGGAATGGGGTTTTAAAAAAAAGTTTCCCATATCCCATGGCCTCTGATTAAAGTATGGAGTTACAAGAAAAGAAAAGTTGAGATAAAAAGGAAGCATATCGTTATTATTCTATCATTTATTATTTATTTCTTTGAGAATTTTGAAATTTATTTCTTTGGGAATTTTCTACTTTACCTCATTTGCTATTGAGTAATTTGGCAGGTCTTTCAACACTGCTGCAATACTATTGCATTTTTAATATTTAAACTTAAAATTGATTTTTAGCTTACAACTTCTTTTTAAAATAAAATCTGATTTTGCTAGTTTTCTTTGCAATTATCTTCCATAAGGATGGAGAAGAACTGAATCATATAGCCAGACATCTGTACATAGCATGGACAAAATATATTTTTAAATTTTTTAGTTTTTAACCTCCAGAGAGATGCAGAGGTGGTATTCAGCAGGTTCTGACTAGTTCCAGAGAACCAGTAGCGGAAATTTTGAGTAAGTTGGAGAACAGGTAAATACCACCTCGGACTGGCCCCACCCCCATCTATTCTCTACCTCCCGAGTCCCAGCTGATTAGGAGGAAATGGGGATTTTGCAGTAACCTTCCCCTGGAGTGGGGAGGGAATGGAGATTTAACAGTATCCTTTCCCTGCTACTCCCACCAAGCCAAACCCACCAAGCCATGCCATGCCCACCAAGCCATGCCCACAGAACCGGTAGTTAAAAAATTTGAATCCGACCACTGGAGAGTGTGGGAGGCCCATTTCTCTTATACAATAGCTTTACAAGGTAAATATAAGGTAAGGTGAAACCTGGAAGATAAATTATGGTGAGAACTATTGAGCTGCTATCCCAGGAGGCAGGATCGTAGTTTTCAAACCCAGAGGTCTTGAAATATCTGGTATTTAACTCTATAGATTTAAATGTACTTTTAGAAGGAATGGCCAAACCTGGAGGCAGAGTGAAAAGAAGGATCAGCCTAGAATCAGTACATAGCCACAAGCAAACTAAGTCCAGTCTCCTTTGAGTGACGTTGATACTTATCTAAACAAATCTGGTTAGACCATCAACAGTCAGCAGTTCAGAAGATGCCTACATATAAGCATTTAGCAATAAATCAGCATGACTGAACCTTTGTGTGGACCTGATCTTTTGTGCCTGAAAGTATTACAGCAAAAAATTAAATCAAGAATAATATGGTAGGCATTAATAAATAAGCAATTATGTAATACCTCATAATTTATCACCTTCTCTAACTCATACCGTTACCCTTTTTACTAAAATTGCACTTGCATTTATTAAATTAAAAATGGACTGTTGATTATTTTTTCCCTGAAAATTATAACTGACTTCAAAGAGGCCGTATATAAAGATCTGTAGTCAGTGCACCCACAAAAATAACATCTGTCCAAAGGTAAAAATAGAGTTTATTCACTCTCTATCCCTCCTTCCCTCCCTCCCGCCCTCTCTTTCTCTGGAAAACTGACTCTTGCCACATCACCATATCACTTATCTTACTGTGACTGCGCAAGATTTTAATCCTTTCTTGAGAATTGGTCTTGGAAAAAGAAATATTGTTGTATTTGTTGGTCACTAGTTAATAGCACTTAGCAATAGCACTTAGACTTAGACAGGATGGAAGGCTGACTCAACCTAATGGTGTGCTTACATCTCTTTCTTATTTATTTATTTATTTATTTATTTATTGCGATTTATATGCCGCCTTTCTCCCTAGGGACTCAAAGCGGCTTACAAAATGACAACTTCAATACAAATCACAATACAATACCAAATTAAAATCAGTAACCCAATTAAAAAACGATTTAAAATTATACCAGTATTTGCTAGTACGTCTACAGTATATGATCCTACTTATTTAACTCTGACAGTTGATTAGATTTATATATTACCTTTCATTCATAAACTTGGTTTCATGCATAGTGCTTCCTCTCTTCATTTTCCTACATAACACGAACCCTATAATATAGGAAAGATTGAAGATGATTGGACCAAAGTCATTTATGGCTAAAGGTGGACTGGAACTTGAATTCCCCTAAAGACTTGCATCCCCAATGTCAGTGCAACAGTTTAATCACTGCATCACACCTGTTGTCTAATTTGAGAGATTAGTCACTGTTGGGATTACCATGCCAATTATATATAAATTATTCTCAACTTACTTTTTCTTTCAATCTGTTGAGACCATGAAAATTGTAGAATGTTTTATTCATGCTATAGAAGTGATTAAAAATATCTGGTTCCCCCTCCTCCCCAAAAGTTCCAGGTGCTTTTTCCTCTGTTCTGATAAAGGCTTACAACCAATTAAAGACAAAATTACATTCCCTTTGCCAAGTTTTGGAGTCTTCTAAATTCAATACTATTTTAGAGAAGTTAAATTAGTGACAATAGACTACCTAATATGGTCATACCTCAACAAAGCAAACATTGCATGCATCTAATACCCATGACCTAATAACACCCAGAATAGATTAATTAAATGCACACAACATAAGGTTCATTTGAAATATGGTTTAGCAACTTTAACTAATACAAAAATGTACTAAATGCTCCCACAAATAATAGTAGGATTTTGTCACATGCATATGGATGCTAATTAATTTCTGGGCCTGTTTAAAATATTTATATTATATTAAACAATCTTTAATTTTCAACTTCTGTCCACTTGGATTATCAGCTTGAAGATCATACTTATATATTTCTTTATAGGAGGAATTAGATGAGGAATTATGTAAAAGGGACTCATTTCTCAGCAACAGCAAGCAATTCTGCTTGTAAGACAACTAATTGCAAGTGGAATCAGTTACAATAGAGTCTACATTAAAAATGTATGTTAAAGGTTACATTTAAAGCATAGTTTTGATAAAATATCTTTAAGGGTGGCTTAAAATATTTTAATAAATTATTATATTTTATATTGGGTTACATGGGCAATTCACTTTCCATACCTGAAAGACAACAAAACCCATCAAATAGCACATGAATGGATCGTGGTAATTCAGATAATATATATATACAGCAGAACTAGTAAAAGTTCTCAGTTTTGAGGTACATGAATGAATCTAACGATCTGTAAAAAAAGAACTCTAATTACTGGATACTAATAAAAAGAATTTGAGTAAAAACATGTGCAAAAATGAATATAGTCAATTAGTTACGTATTTCCATAAGGATATATTATTCAAGAGAAATAGACCATTTTTGGATAAAGGATGATGGATGGGATAGAGGAAATTAAGCAACTATTTTACTTAAAAGTGTAAGATTTTCAAAAGATGGAAACAAACATGTTTACAGTATCAGTTATCCAAGCAGCACATGGAATTTGATTATAAAAAGAGATTTTTAGAGCACACAGAAGCATGAACATAGCATCTTTCTGCAAGTCTTTTCCTTCTGGGAATCATGCGGATGGTGCTATGTGATCTTGGAAAGTATATAGTTATTTTAAAGAACTTCAGAGGCATACCAAAGCACTTTTTTTTTGAGAACTGCAACTGAATCTATTGTCTATGGGAAAGATATTTTACAAACAGCAGATCTGACAGATTGCTACTCAAATTCAGATACAATCAGAAACAGGTACAGGGAAACAACAAAAGAAGTGAGAAGAAATATGGATAGGAAAGTGTTTGATTTTGCTTGATTCCTGGGGAGTGTATGTGTGTGTGTGAATGTATGTATACATATATACGTGTACTGATTAGTATTTAGATAGGAGATTATTAAAAAATTAATTTAAAAAAACCCAACCTACAGAAACATATATACTGTACGTATGTGTATATATATATATATATATATATATATATATATATGTGTGTGTGTGTGTGTGTGTGTGTGTGTGTGTGTGTGTGTGTTTATGTAAGTTTTCACGGGTATGTATGTGTGTATAGTTAATATTTTTGGGTTTCTTCCCGTGTAATTGTGGATATATCCCTAAAAGGAAAGAAGCGACGTTTCGGCAGAATCCCATCTGTCATCATCAGGCTTATGTCAGCAGTCATTTTGCACTAACTGACGTTGGTATTTCAAATCTGGTGCTAGTATTCTGGGATGGCTCCTCCTTTTCATTCTGATTGGTTGGGAGTCCCAGTATGTGTTTATTGGCTTAACCGACCATACACCCGAAGCCAAGCCAATAAACACATACTGGGACTCCCAACCAATCAGAATGAAAAGGTGGAGCCATCCCAGAATACCAGCACCAGATTTGAAATACCAACGTCAGTTAGTGCAAAATGACTGCTGACATAAGCCTGATGATGGCAGATGGGATTCTGCCGAAACGTCGCTTCTACCCTTTTAGGGATATATCCACAATTACACGGGAAGAAACCCGAAATATTAACTACACACACACACACACACACACACATACATATATACATATATACATATATACATACATACATACATATATATACATATATATATACATATATAATATATATATATATATATAATATATATATGCATGCTTCTGTAGGTTTTTTTTTTTTTTCAAAATAAATTTTATAATGGTGTCTCATCTAAGTACTAATCAGGTTGGACCTGCTCAGCTACTTTGGAATCAGCCAAGGTCAAGTAGATGCTGCCATCTGCTGTAGACTCGGTTACCTCTCTTTTTGGTTTACCTATGAAGAGGATCTTGGGATATGTTCCAAACATTTTCAGGTAGTTTTATGATAGTAGTCTGTGACTCTGCATGGGATCTGTTTAATGGCACCCAGGACAATGGAATTTCAGCTATATTGTTTGAATGGATGCTTTCTAGTTTGTCTTGGAAACTTAATATATCGATCACTTTTAAGAACAGCAGCAACAAGTTGAGTTTTGTGAAACAAGGTATCTTAACTGCCTGACACCTGTGCTATCTCCTACAATGATTTGAAAAGATGTATTGTTCTTAGAATACCAATCTCAGGTTACCTTGACAACCAGAGATGATGCATAATTCCACTGTGCATCATACCATGCTTTCTTTTCAGCATTCATAGACTTTGATCTTTTTTATTTGTTTATTTATCAAACTAACTCTTCAAAATATCTGCATTCAGATAGGAAAAAAAGAAAAAATAGTTTGTAGGCACTGAATGTGCATTTGATTAGAAGAGGAAAGGACATGTGTAAGAGACTTCTGACATAGAAAAAAATATGTATTTCCCTTTTTGTCACTGCATAAAGTAAATAATGGGTTTTTTAAAAATAATCTTATATTTAATAAGAATGGAAACAACATAGAATTAATTTTTAACCGTATATCCTGCATAAATTCCTATTTTAGCATTCGGGGACTGCACATAATTTATATGTTGCAAATACAACATATTCACACAACATGCAAGTATTTGCATACATTTGCATCAGCATAAACAAATGATTACAAATGATAAACAAATTTTAAATTGATTTTAAATTGGGTTGTTTTAATTTACGGCCAAAATATTTAATTATTTTAAACTGTTTTTAAATTTTGTATGTTCTGTTTTTTACTTTGGCTGTTCACCGCCCTGAGTCCTGTTTGGAGAAGGGCGGTATAGAAATGGAAACAAATAAAAATAAATAAATAAATCATCGTATTTCCTAAACTCTGCCTTCTCAGTCTATAGTCTTGAGCAGCATAATGAAGGTCCTCTCTGAATCAGGTTTCTCCATCCAAGTCATTATATTTTTGCTGCAAGAAATCACATCTTAGTTGGAGTTGCTGAGAAAGAAAGTAGAAATGAAGTTTTGTTTCCCTTTATCCAAACCTTAATATTAATATTAATATTAAAAATCAATTTGAATGTATACAATATATTATTTTTGTATTAAAAATGCTTAAATGTTTTAATTTAAAAGAAAACGTAACTAGTATTGACTTTTAGGTAAAGTTATGCTTTCATATATGGAACGTTGTAAGTTTATTTGTGTGTATCTATTAAATTCAAGTGATTATGTGAACAGCTACTTCTTATTTTATTATTTATCCCACCATCAGCCAGATGTTTAGATGGGATTTGGGCTTTTTATCCACCTATTGAATCCTTCCCAAAGACCTGAGATAGGCAGAAATTGTGTTGATGTGTTGAAAGTATTGTCACTGGATGAAAGCTGTTTCAAGTAAAGCTGTTTTGTAATTGATTTTGTCAATGCTGATGCTGTTCAAGCTCAGATGTTTTGAGATTGTACCCATGGAGCCTTTTATTGGTACTATCTTTGCTTTCTTTTGCCACATTCATTCTATTTCAACTTTATATCATGCACAATAGTTATTTCTCTTCTATTCTGCTTCCTCCAGGTAAGACAATGTCCACTACCCAGACTTTTTTGTCTTTCTTATTAACAATGATTAAATCTGGGATGTTATGTGACAGGTGTTTGACTGTCTGAATTCTAAAATCCCAGAGCATTAACTTTTTCAGTTTTTATTACTTTATCTTTGGTAAATGGTATTTCTTGCAGATATTCCAATGCATCATTGTTGTTGTTTTGTCATGCTACAGTTTGCAGTCACTGTGCCATTTTGTCCATAATGTGCAATTTGGTGATCTTCTTGGCTATAGCCATTACTTGCTGTTTTATTATTTCTAGTATTTAATCTCCTTGTTCTACCTTGTTTATATCTGATCTTAGCATGTTGATCTAATTTTCCAGCCTGATCTTCTATTTTGGCAGTACACTATTTGGGCTTGGCTTTTGTTTGCTGATTTTGCAACCCAGGTACTCACTCATAACTGTAGCTGTTGTGTACATTTGTTAGTTTGTTAATTGCAGTGAGGTGGTATCTGATAGTACAATATTGGTATCTTTTAATATTTTTGCTACCCGTTCCTTTGGAAAAACCTTCAGTGCAGGCAACCTTATTCTATTGTTTTTGTGCTGTTCTAAATGCTCAGTTATTCTTTGTTTCAATTCCTTTATGTATGTATGTATGTATGTATGTATGTATGTATGTATGTATATGTATATATATATATATATATATATATATATATATATATATATATATATATAATATATATATATATATATATATATATATATATATATATATATTAGTTAGAGGGCTTTATTCTTCTGAGGAGAAGGCAGAGGAGAGGGTGCCTAGTTTGAGAATAAAAACAATTCAATAGCTGGCTTCATCTACTGCAGATTCCCCTTGGTTTGCCTCTATAGTACAAACCCCTCACATCCTGGGCATAAATTGTTTCAACGTCTACCCTCAAAACGATGCTATAGAGCACTGCACACCAGAACAACTAGATACAAGGACAGTTTTTCCCCAAATGCCATCACTCTGCTTAACAACTAATTCCCACAACACTGTCAAATAATTTACTAAGACTGTATTACTATTATTCTTCTCTTCCTTACTAATATCTATCTCTTCCCACTTATTACTATAACCATATTGCTTGTATCTTTCAATTTATATTGTTTTTATTTGTTTCCCAGTGCGATTTGACAGTTTATTAGTAACCTTGACTATCACTAAGTGTTGTACCTTTTTATTCGTGATGAATGTTTTTTATTCTCCTTATGTACACCGAGAGCATATACACCAAAGACAAATTCCTTATGTGTCCGATCACACTTGGCCAATAAAGAATTCTATTCTATTCTATTCTATTCTATTCTATTCTATTCTATTCTATTCTATTCTATTCTAGTATGAACTATTTCTTTTAAGAAATCTATGCAATTTCTTTTCAGTTCTTCCAATTCTGCTTCTGTGAATATTTTATTTTGTATTATAAATGGATATTCATCTGCTAGCTTCTGTTCTATTATTTCTGATTCTGGATGCTATTTTTTTTCCAGAATTGGTCTATTCTTTTCAGTTACATGCTTCTTGTTGGACTTGATTTGTAATAACAGATCATTATTTCTTCCAATCTTTATATATTTAAGGTGGGTAAAGAACTTTTCTTCTAGTAGTCCCATATTTGTTGGCTCTGGTGGCTCAGCTTGAGTCCTGTAGGTAACCTGTAGTTGACACTTTAGCTTTATATTTTATTAGTTTGTCTGTTTTGTGGTTCACCAGTACTTGCTTGTAGGCAAATATTGTTTCTTGCAACTATTCCAGTCCTCTTTTTTTGCTAGTTTATATTATTAGAATTAATATTTCAAAACATTCATAGCTTTCATTATCTGGAACTTGTCCTAAAGCTTGGTTAGTCAATGAGCTTGGTCACATCTGTTCCAGAATTATTCTATCATCCTATGCTACTTACTTCAAACAGGGTTGGAATGCTTGTTTCATTACATTTTTATCCCATTTTTCTGCCTTAACTATGCAAATGAAGTTTGATCATACCTAAAGTGAAAATAGTCCTTATTAATCCTCAGTATACAGGCCAAATTGTAAAATACAAACCAGTAAATTAAGAGATAAAAGAACATCAGCTAGTTAAGCCAAATAGCCGCTGAAATGAAACAATGTACATTCAATATGAACTATGTTCATTCAATACAGAAACAGTCAAACAGATATACTAGAATATCTCAACCAACAATATTTTAAAATGATAAAAGTGTCTAGTGTAGAACTTAGTGTACACTGGTTATCCAGACTTAATATAATTCATAATTTGCTGGACAGACACTCCACTGAAGTGTAATGAAGAATTTTTACTCTTCTCTGTATCATACAGTAATATATATTTGCTTTAAGTTTCTTGTTTTCAAAAACAGATTCTTTACTGATGTCCATTTCAGACAAATGAAAAGGCAATATTTATTTATTTACTTACTTACTTACTTACTTACTTACTTACTTACTTACTTACTTATTTATCTTCCCTGATGCAATATTGGAGCAGACACAACTCTTAGTATTTAATAAAGAGATGTGCGTGTGATTTGGAGCCAGATTTAGTACTACATATGAAAGTTACTTTTAAGACTCATATTTCCACAATAAGAGGCAGGAAATATATGTAAAGTGATCAATCTCCTCCAATTAAGTTAAATATGCACCCCATCAATGAAAATTTTAGATTTTCCGTTCATTTGAACAACAACAAAATGAAAGCAATTTCTTTTCAGTCCAAATGAATGAGTATGATTGGGGGGAAAAGTGTTCAGCACTGTACTAAAAGAAAGCACAGACTATCCTAGTCTTTAACTTACACTAAATCATTCACTCAAAACTGTACTTCTGTACTTCCTGTGCAATCAAGGAAAACCAATTGATAAGGGTGTGTGTGGTTACAATGCTTATGCAAAGCAACACAGCAATCAGTAGTGACAAAGTACTAATGAGGACTGGAATTGCAATTAGTAACCGCATACCTTCATCTTCCCACTCTTTCTTGATTTAGCATTTGACTCTTCATGGGCTGTTTTTGAATAAGACTGGCCCTGTTTCTTTCTACTGAATGATGATTTCCTCTTCTTTTAGCAACTTTGAAAGTCAGCGGTACTGAGGATAACCTAAACAGAATGTACTGTGCAGGGGTGGGTTCCAATTTTTTTTACTACCGGTTCTGTGGGCGTGGCTTATTTGGTGGGTGTGGCTTGGTGGTCATGTGACCGAGTGGGCGTGGCCAACTCAAAGTCACTCACGGCAAGGTGGGGCGGCACCTTGCTGTGAGTGACATCAAGTTGGCCACACCCACTCAGTCACATGACCGATGCTGCAGAGACAGAGCGATTTCCTGTGTACTTTCCCCTGACCCTTGGGCTGATAAAATAAAAGCCTGCCTTCCTAGCAGCCCAAACTGGAAAATGAGGGGTGGGGAGATGCTTCATGTCTAGAAAAACAGCCTTTCTTTTAATTGCCTCATCAAACCACAAACTCCTCCGATCAGGGCTTCGGTCTCTGAGTAATGGGTCAGATGAAGAGTGGGGAAGTGACTAAAGGGGGAGAGAGGGACAAAGCCCCCTTAACGTGGATGCACGTAAAAAAAGGGTGGAATTTTGACAAACTTCTCCCCCAAGACCAAGAAGAGATTCATTTCCCACTCACCCTCCCCTCCCCAACATTTCCAAGAGCCTCCAACATTGCAGCAGCTGCTGCTCCTCGCCTCTCCTGTCCCGGAAATGGAACCAGGCACCGTTTCCTCCCCCAAGTCATTGTTGGAGCATCAGAGATCTAAGGAAAAGTCTTCCAGCTCTTCACAATCAACTTTAAGAGAGGTGAGAAGCCAATGCAAAAGAAGCGGCAGTGGAGCCGACAGGGGTTTGTGTGTGTGTGTGTGTGTGTGTGTGTGTGTGTGTGTGTGTGTGTGTATCTAAGGAAACGTCTTCCAGCTCTTCACGATCAACTTTAAGAGAGGCAAGAAGCCAATGCAAAAGAAGCAGCAGTGGAGGCAACAGGGCAGGGCATGTGTGTGTGTGAGTGACAGAGAGAGAGAGAGAGAGAGAGAGAGAGAGAGAGAGATCCAGCCACCCTCCCCCAGCACCGCCGCTGCTCCTGCCCCTCTCACCTCCAGCACAGCGGCTCCGTCTCCCTGAAGGGCTGCCCGCCCACCCAGTGGCCGGGCTGCAAGGCAGGCAAGCATGGTAGGGCCATGGGGAAGGGAGCTAGCTAGCTGAGCGGCCCCGACATGCTTGCCTGCCTTCCCGATGGTCCCCGTGGCCAGGCCCTCTTGCTTACCTTCCTCCCCCACCATCGCTTCTTTTTTCGGCTGCTTACCTTCCATGGCAGCTGGTCCAGAGTCGGGAAGGCAAGCTAACCCAAGTTTTTGGCAGCCCCCAGCCAGCCGCCACTGCTGGAAAGTGGCTGGCCAGAAAGCCTCCGAAAAGGCTTTTTTGCCAGCGACTTTCTCCGCAGGCTGCCAAAAAGCATCTGCTATTGTCGCCATGTTCTTTGCGCATGCACATTCCATTGGACTTGCAAGGCAATAGGATGTGCATGTGCAAAGAACATGGCAGTGATGAACATGGCAGCTGGAGAACCGGTTCGGGGGCGTGGCCATACAGGAATTACCACCAGTTCTCCGAACGATGAGAGATTTTTACTACCGGTTCTTGAGAACCGGTGCGAACCGGGAGCAACCCACCACTGGTACTGTGTCAAATTTAGCTACCAGGGAATGATGTTCATCCAAAAGGATAAAAGGTAATACATGTAAGGTGATGATGGTTGTGGGTTGCTTTTTCTAATCAGAACAGGATCTTAACTCATTAACTGAATGTCATTTTTATTTCTGTTCCTTAACAGAATCTACAGAATTATTTTTTAAAAATTGTTTAATATTAATCAGTTTGCTACTGAAATTGTATGTGTGTGTGTTCTCAGTCAAGAGTAAATATATCTGTGAGAGATAGAGAGATAGAGTACCCTTTCATACAACTTTGTCATTCTCAAAAGAAAATTGAAGTCAATTCCCCTAATTGCCTTCATTTTTTTTCCTTAACACATGTATAATAACCTAAAAACTTCATGAATCCCACAAGTCCTTCCAGCTGACACAAAAAGTTCAAAAAGTAGCATCCAATCAGTTTCCTGACCCCTGGGATGCCATAATTTGTGAAGTAACAGGAATAAGAATGATTTCTTTGCACAGAAAGGAAAGTAAATGAATTGCTAATCCATTTAGCCATGTTTTCAACACTTACAGTGTGCATTTGTCGAGCTATGAGAGCAACCTATATGCAGATACCTCTATTTTTTTTAATTTGTTGTGCAAGGTTACCACATCTGTATCACTGAACAAGCACACAGTTTTACAAAAGATCAAACCCTGGTTGTTTATTTCCGTGGCAGCAGAAAACACCAAAACTGAACTAGGTTATTTTGATTTGTACCTTTTACCTTCTTTCCAAAGTAACCCAAGCAAATTGGTCAGGGCTAAAATTGCCAAGAGTTATTTCTATTTCTCTTTTCTTTTGCAGATGATCTGCTGGCGGGTTGCTGGCTTTTTGTTTTTTGTATTTTCCCAAAATGATTGCTTGAAAGAAAATTATCCTGAAATAAAAATTGACACTCCATGGCCAACAAGAAACTTATCACAGGGAAATCATACTTTCCCTTAGCTCAACTTTTCAAGTTTAGCAAAAGAAAAATTAGCTTTGTTGTTTCAAATATGCCATGCTTGAGAAATAGATCATCACAACTCTTGAACCTTATCAACATTGTGGTATCCTAATGACCCACAGCTCTTTCTGAATTGATGCAAAATCTTGTGGATTTTTATTGGTAGGCTAATTTGTACCTCAAATTTATAATTACCGTATTTTTCAGAGTATAAGTCACAACTTTCCCCCCCCAAAAAAGAGGGTGAAAATCTTGGTGCATTTTATAATCCAAATGTAGCCCCACCCAGCCTCTCAAATGGGGTTTTCAGAGGCTGAAAAAAGCCTCAGAAACGAAGCTTCAGGAAAAAAGCCTCCAAACAGAGCTTCAGAAAAAAAGCTTTCAGAGGCTTTCAGAGGCAGAAAAAAAAGTTTTTTCTGAAACAGAGTTTCAGAAGTTTCAGAGACAGGAAAAAAAAAAGCCTCTGAAATGGAGGTTTCAGAGGCTGAAAAAAAAAGAATTCACCTCTGGGAACAGCTGATTGGGGGTATTCCGGGAGGCCGATCCACCCGCCAATCAGCTTTTTTCTAAAGTGTACATATATAATGAAAATAATTGATACATTTCTCAGTTTTCCAAATTTATACTAATATTTTCTTGTTTCTACACAAATTTTAAAATGATATATAGATTTGTATACTTTTATGTGTACTTTTAACAAAATGCCATCTGAATTTCTCATTTTTCTTACTTATATATATATATTATTTCCACCCAATTATTTATCATTCCCTATTGTGTGAAGCATTGGATTCACATCAAATTAAATTTGATTACTATTTTCTTTAATTTGATCTGGTGAAGAATAAACAGGCTATAGGCTGTGTTTCTATCTTAATATCCCAAGTTCTTTTAAAGAAATGACTGACACTAGACTGAAATCCCACAATGCTACACAGATAATCCACAATTTAGATTTGGAAAAATACTAAAGATCAAATTATGATCAGAATGCAAAATCAGTTCCATTTAGAAAGCAAAACTTTTTTTTTAAAGGCTCAAATGTTTGGAGTGATCCCTATTTTAAATAACCATGACTGCTTGACTTTTCCAGCTACATGAAAATATTTCTTTTCTGCTGTGAGCAGAGTGCTATGGCAACAAAAAGAATAATAATATTGAGATGGAATTTATTCTTAATTGCTTCTACAGTGTAAGCCATCTTTATAAAGTGCACATTTTCATTATTCTTATTTTTCAGAGATGATGCCTTTCTTCTTAATATTTACTTTTCCATTTACCTGAACTCTTCAGTATTTTTAAAACAACCAATTATCATTTAATTGATTTACTCTCAACTTAGGAATTCTACATGCTAGCACTCTTCTTCCTTTTTCTTACTGTGAATACAAATTTCCTAACCATAAATATCCTATTGGCTTTTCATTAAAATCTGTGAAATACTCACTATCATGTTGATTTCTTATTTTCTTAAAAAGAACATGCAACCTCACCATGTTATTTTAATTTTATATTTTAATTTTACTTTTTTTTCATGGCTATTATAACACACATGTACCACTTACACATCTATTTATGATTTCAAAATGCATGTAGAAAGGTGCTACATGTATATGTAGAGCTCTTCTAACCTAGTCAAGATTCCCCTCAAAGAGAGGATTACACATTGATACACAAATAAAAGTTCCTTTTCCCATGTACAAATGTATAAATAGCATGATGGAATTTTGATTTCATTGGAAAATAAAATATAAACTTCATTGCGTATTCTAATAACATGCATTTATGGGTAGCCTTTGACTTACGACCAATCTCTCTCTCTCTCTCTCTCTCTCTCTTTTTAGTTGAACTAGCTATTTGCAGCATTGTTTATTTTTTTTAAAAAGAAATTTTATTAAATTTATTATCATATATAAAATAACATTTCCATTAATATTGGATATGCAGTGTTTATACATATGTACAAAATATATACCTGGTGTCACTTAGGCTACTTTTTGCTTTTATTTAACACACCTTTTTCTCTTTCTTTCACTTTATCATTCATCCATTCATACCACCTTCCCCACATGGTATAGTATTCTAAATTCTCGTCATCGTTTATTTCATGGGTTAGTTTGCTCATCTCTGTGCACTCCAGTATTTTCCTAATTATAAGTTCTTCTGGTGGCTGGGCTTTCTCTTTCCAATATTGTGCGTAGGCCAGTCTAGCAGCTGTGATTATATGTATCATTAAATGATTCTTTTCTTTTCCATATGTCTTCTTTACTATTAATATTTCCGGTGTCAATTCAATGTCTTCTCCAATTATTTCTTGTAACCATCTCCTAATCTTACTCCAATATCCTTTTGATTCATGGTATGTCCACCACATGTGAAAGAAGGTGCCCTGACCATAGCCACATTTCCACCAGTTTGGGTGTACGTTAGGATACATCTTTGCTAGCCTAGCAGGGGCTAAATACCACCTGTGGAGGATTTTATAATTGTTTTCCTTATATGTTGCAGCTCTGGTCAATTTAAAATTCTTATTCCATGTCTCTTCCCATTCATTAAAATTTATGCCGTGTCCAATATTTTTCTCCCATGCACTCATTCGTTTTTTTGTTATATCCTCAGCTCTGTCCTCATCTAATAGATAATTGTATAATTTAGCCTAAATCTTTTTACCTGTTCCCATCAGGACTTTATCCAGCCCGTTATATCCTAGTTCTAAGCTGCATTGTTCTTTATCTTTCTGGTTCCTGGATTTTATTTGCAGATAGGTCCACCAGTCTAGATTTATTCCTTGCTCTCTCAGGGCATCATTAGATTTAAGATTTCCTCCTTCATCTAAAATGTCTTTATACCTACACATTTTCTCCATTCCCCACCTATTGGGATAGATCAGGGCCTCCATCGTGGAGAGCCATCTTGGGACTTTTTAATAATATCTCTGCCTAATTCTGGTCCATGTTTGTATCAATGAGTCTCTAATTTTATGTCTATGAAAATATGTTTTCTTATTCTTCTCTGTGTCCCATAAGTATGGATGCCACCCTCTCTGTAAATCATGGCCTTCCAAAGTTAAAATCCTCTTATTTTCCAGAGTAGCCCAGTCCCTTATCCAGACTAGCTTAGCTGCCCTATAATATGTTTCCCAGTCGGGAAGTCCAAATCCTCCTATATTTCTTTTTCCCTTTAAAATTTTAAGAGAGAACCTTGGCTTTTCCCCCTCCCATATAAATTCCCTAATGATTTTGTTTAATTCTGAAAAAAAAAATCTAAATTCACCAGTATATTTTGATATAAAAATAGTACTTTGGGGAGGATGTTCATCTTAATTGCAGCTATCTTTCCCAAAAGTGACAATTGTATTTTCTTCCATCTATCCAGGTCTTATTTCATTTTCCTAATTAAAGGGGTATAATTATCATCTTTTAAGGATGAACACCTTGTGGTTACCCAAATTCCTAGATATTTTATTTTTTTAACAACCTGTAGTCCCAACAATTCTTCTATCTCTTTCTTCCATACCTCGACCAATAAGATATTTACCTTTACCACCTAAATCTTATAGGTGGTAGCCCATTTTGTAGAATTCAAGATTTCCTAAGTTTGTGTTTTATCAATATAATCTTTATGATTCCTGGTAATGGTCCTTTCCTCCTTCCTTCCTCCCTTCCTTCCTTCCTTCCTTCCTTCCTTCCTTCCTTCCTTCCTTCCTTGCCACGCCACGCCACGCCACGCCACACCACGCCA